AGAGGGCAGGGAGAGATGGAATATTGGGAAGAAATTCTCCCCTGTGAGGGTGGGGAGGCCCTGGCACAGGGTGCCCAGAGAAGCTGTGGCTGCCCCTGGATCCCTGGAAGTGTCCAAGGCCAGGTTGGACGGGGCTTGGAGCAGCCTGGGCTGGTGGAAGGTGTCCCTGCCCATGGCAGGGGGTGGCACTGGATGGGCTTAAGGTCCCCTCCAACCCAACCCTTTCCATTATTATTATTATTAAAAATCAAGATCTGGCCTCTGGGTCCTCCAACCATTCCTGAAAGTGCCCTGATGCCATATTGGAGTCTCACACTACAGGGCCAGGCCAGGATTCCTCTTCAGGCTGGGGGGGTTTTTAGGGTGTCATTGATGCGATGTCTTGAATTTCCATGTCTGAAACCCGCACAGCTGGGACACCAGATGGTGGCCCTGCACCACCAACCTGCCCTCAGAGGCAGGAAAAGGTGAAGGATTTCACTCTGCTCTCACTCAGGGCTTGGGCTGCAGGGAAGTGCTGTTCTAGTTTTAATAGTTCTATTTTTAAGCTATAAGTAACTCATAAAATACTTCCCCAAAGCAGCTCTGGGCAGTTCACCATAATGCCACTGAAGTGTTTTCCCTGGGGATGCATCCCTGTGGATGGGATTTGCTGATGGACGTTGCAAATTGTGGGTGAGGGAAGGAAAATTCATTTATGGAAGTAAAACTGGAGCTGGTGGACAGGCACAGGCAGGGCTGGGATAGAGAAAGGTGGAGATGGCTTTGAAGTCATGGAATCCCCGAATGGTTTGGGTTGGAAGGGACCTTAAAGATCATCCAGTCCCAACCCCTGCCATGGGCAGGGACACCTTCCACCAGCCCAGGTTGCTCCAAGCCCTGTCCAACCTGGCCTTGGACACTTCCAGGGATCCAGGGGCAGCCACAGCTTCTCTGGGCACCCTGTGCCAGGGCCTCCCCACCCTCACAGGGAAGAATTTTTTCCAAATATCCCATCTAAATCTCCCCTCCTTCAGCTACAGTCCTGTGTGTTCTTGCTGCAAACAGTGTCCAGCTCTGGCCATCATCCCTCAGCTGGGACAGAATTGCTCCTGACCCCACAGGTGACAGTGGAGCAGATAGACCCCTGTGCTGGAGGCAGAGAGGACCCAACCAGGAGCCAGGACGATGCAGCAGGTCTGTGGTGACACCAGCTCAGCTGCCTTATGAGGGATCAAGGAGGTTTAATGACACTTTAGTCAGGGTTTTCCCAGGTGCCTCCAAGTGTATTAAAATGAGGGCCAAAACCAACCTCAAACGGTAGAGCCTGTTGTTAAACCCTTTTGGCTTAAAATTAATAAAGCTGAAAATAAAAGCAGGGTGTTGCTGTCACACCCAGGCCTTCTGTGCTGCTCAGATCCATTGTTTTTAATGGACAAAGGGAATTCTCAGTGACAGCAGTGCCCAGGCTGGGCCTTCACCGTCCTCATGATGCAGCAAAGCCTCCAGAGCTGTTTGAGAGGAGGACGTGCAGAGTCCTGGCCTTCCCTTAAAAACCAGCTCCCCCAGAGCGTTGGATGCCCTTTGAAGGAAGGGCAGTTTTTCGGGTGCTCTGGGACAGGTCCATCCTCACGGGAGATTTTGGGATTTTTTTGGACATTCCCGTGCTGTGGGAGGGGGATCGGCAGCTGCAGCTCTGGGGCGGGGCATAAATGAGCATAAATGAGTTTGGGTCATTAGTGAAGCCCTGGTGGGCGCAGGGACGAGCCCGGCCTCTCCCTGTCCCGCTGCCCGGGCCGGAGGGTCCCCCGGGGGCAGCCCCGGTCCCCGTGCCCGGAGCCGCCTCTGAGTGTCGCTGCAGGTCGCGCCCAGCCCGGGGTTGGCCGCTGGCTCCCGGAGCCGCCGCCGCTCCTGTCCCTGCGGGAAGGAGGGTCCCGGTCCCGGTCCCGGCGACGGGGGGACGGCGGTGGCGGCGGCTCCAGCCCGGGCCGGGCAGAGCGTTCCCACAGAACCCGCCCGGCCTCGGAATTCCGGTCCCGGGCAGGGACGTGCCCCAGGACCCTCGGGGCCGGCGGCGGCCCCCGGCCCGGAGCTGGGGGAGGCATCGCCGGGGTCCAGGGCGCGGCTCTGGGGGGCGGGGGGCGGGTGCCGGCAGAGGAGGGTTTTAGATCTTAATTTTGAGATTTTTTTGAAAATAATTTCCGTTGTTATTTCATTCTCTCCCGCCGGCCCTGCCCGGCCCTGCCCGCGGGATCCGCGGGGGCCGCGACCACCGGGACCCCAACCCGGGGCCGCCCGGGGGGCGGGGCCGGGGGAGGGGGCGGGGCCTCCGTCATTCAGAGAAGCGCGGTGCGAGCGGTGTGGGCGTGGCCCAGTGCCATAGGGGCGGGGCCAAACCCATATAGGGAATATCGGGGGCGTGGTCTGTGCGATATGGGCGCGGCCTCAGCCGAGAGGGGCGTGACCGAACC